AATGAATTGAGAAACTAATTTCTCATTAATGTACTCTCATTCTTTTAAAAGGTAAACTAATCGCTCTCATAGCTGCACACATCATAAACACGTTCCTCTGGTTGTTTTCTCATTCAATCCCGTTTCATTCAATTTGTAAAGCGCACACTGCGTTATGAGCACTCGCAAGTCTTCTATCGTTAAAAGCACTTTCATGTTGTCCATTTCTCATTCTTCTCGTCTCATTGTTTACAACAATTATCGCATGATTCTCGATGTATTTCACATGCTCTCTCCAAGCTTGTTCGACTATTGTTAGAGGACAACAACAAAGAAACAGATCAAATATAAACTGTTCGTTATCATTCGATATAACGTTTAGAAAATCTTCTGATTCGTCGATGGGATTTTTCTTTCGATTAACTATGCAATTTCCTCACATGTGAAGCTATATTTTATCGAGTGATATCGAGGAATCATGTGATATCTGAAAAAAACTGGACTTTCAAGTTATCGCACACACTTTTTCAGATGCACTTCTAGCAATCGAAGACCTGCTCTGTCAGGAAAAATCAAAAAGTATTTAAGTTGCTGACAAAACTTGAGCGTATTTTTGGAACCACATGCTGCGATCAGAAGCACAGCTGATTCGTGCTCCACTCGAATCTTGCATAATAACACAACAATCTGATGGAACCGGAGTGCACTGATGACCTGGAGATAGTGGATATCCCATAATATCATAATCATCCTTATAGAAATATTGCTCTGATGGAATTGAAAGCCCCACTAACGATAATACCCTCCATTCATACATAGTACTGGATCATCTAAGAACAACTTGATGAATACCTCTTGAAATTGAACATTTTGAAGCAAAAGTTCCACAACAATACTAAATGTTCATATACGCACATTTCAAGTATGTCAGGTGACGTTCTACTCGATTATCACAAAACAATAAGTGAATGCTGACAAAATGCTGTAAGCATGCTGTTGCGCAAACTGAGGCATATTTTTTTAAATTTTATTTTCTGGTTTTATAAAATTTCATTTATTTATTGAAGTGAAACCATCAGGTTAATGATACCTTTACGATAAGTTTAAATACAGCGGGTTGATTTTTCATTCACACTTGAATTTTATAATGNAAGATAGGGCTGCTGCATTCAGGTGGGTAGTTGCTGTGTACTTTGTTGTTACCTGTCTGTAATTTGTCTTGAATATTTGACATAAGTATAATTGACATTGACATCTCGTATATCTCAACGTCGTCTTTCCTAAGATGAACACATCGTTTGTCACACCTAAATATGTGGCATTCAGTTCGGATGCTTGATGTGAACTTAACACTATGATTACTTGTTTTCACTCAACAACTCTAGTCAATCATCACTCATTCATTAAAGAGGTAACCTCATGTGATTTGTCGTCAATAAATTATAAGTAATTCAGCGTAACTGGTTCTTTGGTCAAGCACATCAATTTTAGTGACACATTGCTTGTTATTGTGTGATCAGTGGGATTGTTATCAATGTTATTATTATTATTATTATTATTATTATTATTATCACATTGTTCTATCAGTAGCAGTGGAATTGTCGCTATGACCGATCGTGATACTCATTTGCAATATGCAGAATGCTACAACTTTCATTGCTATTATCGTTGCCAAGTTCGTTATCGTAACACGCCGATTGTTCCCGTTACGATTAGCTTCGCCACTGTGCTCGTTGCAATCATATTGTTATGATTACTGCTATCCTCATTAGTACTGTCATCAGCATTCTTAAAATGCTCACTCGTTCGCATTTGCTTTCAGATCATGGTGACACCATCTGACTAGCTGGCGACATCTTGTTGTGTGATTGTGAATTATGTGATGCTTATAATCTCGTTATCATTGCAACTCAATCAGTGTTGAATGATTCGTCCACAATAATCATATCATATCACATCATATCAATAACAGTAAACAAACGCCCAGCCTCAATAAATACTTCATTTCAAGCAAGACCAAACTAAACTTTGCTTCATCGTATACCACCACATTAAGCCTCTTACAAACATGATTCTTGTACTATATTATCACTACTGATATCAGTGACATTCCTTGCTCTTAGTTCAAAAGCAGCAATGCAGGCATTTGCATGGCATTGTGACATCGCTGCAAATCTTCCTGTCATTCTTGGGATGCTTTCAGTTCAATGCTAAGTTCAATGCTTTCAGTTAAATGCTTCTTATGTGCGTTCAGCGATATCTGTATGCTCACATAAATTTCTCTCATTGAGAGAACTTTTTGGACATTTAGAAATATTTTTCAGATATTGTTAGACACTCGATTGACTGGACTAGTGGACCGTCATAGCAAAAATCTATGGCTATCAAACGAACATCCACATATATCGTCAACAAAAACCATCAAGTCAAGCTTAACTTGAGTCTCAGAGAAGCTTTTGGAGTCTTCTCCAAAACTCCAGCAAGTTTTCCAGTGATGACTGGGCTCTACATATTATCAATTAGTTTTGCTCTCTTGCTTCGTTATCATTCGTGTTTTCCGTTCAATCTCCCATTTACTTGAAACGTCGACTCCGTTACGCAAAAAACCGGATATTATTCAATTGATTTGGATTCCTCTATATTGTGATGGTAGTTACAAACGGTTGTTGATGTGGAAGCAAAATTCTTGTTTCGCCTAGCAGCGATAGATCAAAATGATCTACAACGTTAGATCAGCTCGATTGCGATCTTTTTTTGCAAATTTAATTGAAACTGTAGCGACTAGCGGAATAATTTCGCTGAAAAGCACTTCATCGAAAGTTTTCGCTACATTCACAGTGCTAATAGCGAGAGGGAATTGTTTTGAGTGGAGCAAAAATGTTTTTTTT